GCCTGAGTCAGGTACAGGACAAGGCAGTCCGATGACGGCCCAGTTTCTGGACAAAAGAGGAGCAGAACTTCCAGGATGGGAGGGCCATGAATGAGAATGCCTGCGCCCTCCTCCATCCTCGAAATCAATCGTGGAAAGGAGCTTTTTTGCCCCTCAAGTGGCCTGAACTTAAGCACTCCCAGACCTTTCTCCGTAGTCCACCCAATTAATAAGCCCCATCGGAGACAGGCACGGTCCCTAAATCAAGTTTGTCCAATCAGAGGCCGCTCTAGAACCAGAAGATCCGCTCAGCCCCACCCGAAGCTGCTCCTCCTTTCCAAGTGACAAATTACAAGCAAATTAAACCTCAGGCAAAGCCGAGTGACGGAAGACATAGCCAATCAGTGAGGAAGGAAAATAGCTCCAGCCCGCCGGTGGCAGTGACTAGGATGAACGCCGCGCCCCCCACCCCCACTCTCTATGGGACGACTCCGTTACCTCGTGAGACACACATTCCAGCGACCGCAGCTCGCTACAATAGCGGCAGAAGTAGAGCTGCGAGAGCGGGGCCCGAACCTTCTTTTCTCCCTGGACTAGATAGAGAACCCGATCCGACTGCAGCAAGGACGCCATCTTGGGGAGGGAGGAGCCGACGACCCACCCGCCGCATCACGTGACCCGAAGCCCAGCGTCTTCCTTGTCGCCTTCCCTACGTCTTCCTACGTAAACTTTGACGTTAGGCTTCCCACATCGTCGGGCTCGAGCCTGTCTAAAATCAGAGCGCGCGTGCGCAGCTGGGATCCCAGTTTTCTCCCCAACCCTGGGCCCGCCCCCCAGCGCTTCCTTGAGCGTCCACTGCCCTTTCTGTCATTTGGTCTGGACTCGGCAGATTAAATGCATACAGGTTCAGTGAGCTCCTTTTGTTCTTTTTTCCCAGAATGAAAAGCTGCTCTTTTGTGTTATTTACGACGGCCTCCCCTGCCGCACTTTCTAGGCGAGCATCCAGGAGACAAATGAAGTTCTCAAAGGGACAGGGCTCCGTGGGGACTGAAAGACAAGAGTCACACCAGCAACTGTCTTCTGAGTCTTCCCAATGGCCTTTATGGAACTTTCACGTACATTATCTCATTTGAAACTTTAGGCTGTGAGTTCCTCTACGCAGGTTTTGAGTACATCGTTAACATTAGGTCTAAGCCTATATTGTGGACCTCCAATAAGTATGAGAGGAGGGAATGACATCAATGAACAATGTTGGTAGGCGTCTACATTTTTCTAATGTGTAAACTAAGGCTTAGGTCTGTGTCTTGGGTGAGCAGCTGCTATGTGAGACTGGTATTACGTGGGTGATAAAAGAATTTATTAATAGTTTTAGGTAAAGAAATGCAGATTTATTTGAGAAGGAATGAAATTACGTTGAAAGGTTGCAATGGGCAGACCACCCAGAGAGGAGCTGATTTCAAGGAAACAAAGGCTTGGTGGAGATTTTATAGGACTGTTCTTGGGCTGCAGGGTGCTGTGCAGTACTGATAACTCCAAGGTTGCAGGGAGCTAACTTGCAGGTGTCTCGTGATAGCTGGGTGCAGGAAGATTGTGAATTATTTGCACAGGAGGGCTATGTGTCCTGCACCATGAAGAAAGGCAGACTTATAGTGCATCTGCTCTTTTTGCTTTCCCTTGGTCCCACTAGCCTGACTCCCTTCTAATTAGGACTCTGCAGTATGTAAAAAGACCGTCTAGAACTGCCTAGCAGAAACTGGAGCTCCTGTTGCCTGCCACCTGGTCTATGTTTTTATAATTGTAGTAGTGTTGTATTATTACCTGTCTGACGTTAGAATTGGTGACTGAGAAGATAAGGAACTGAATACTATTAACAAACATTTATTGAGCACTTAAGTGCAGCACACTGTGTCAAAACTTTACATACATTGTCTAATTTAATTCTTACAACTCCAAAAGGCATGTGGCAATATTATTTCTATTTTACAGAGCAGGAAACTTAGGCTCAGGGAAGTGCGGTGACTCCTCTATCAGGCTTCATAGATAAAGGTAGAATGTTGTTCTGTCTGACTCCAGTGCTTGCAGGCATAACCCCTATGTATACTGCCTCCAGCATATTTTCTAATATGATGACGTTAATAATAATGTTACATTTATATAGACCTGTTCAACTTATACAGTGCTAATCTCACAATTTATGTCATGCTTTACCAATGGCGCCTAAAACTCTTTTCTTGTTCATCAAGCAATAGTCTGGCACTAACTGAAATTCATAGGTGGCTTCTGCTCCTAGGAGAAAATATATTACTAGCCAACTGATTTGCAGTTATTTCTTTATGTTAATGAATTCATTGGCTTTCTAGTTTATAAACTAGTCTCCGTGGAGTTTAAATTCCCTTTTCTGGGCTATGCTGTTAAAATGAAGTCCCAGAGCCTGCAGGTACAGAAAGGCTGCAGACTTGCGCTGACTCCACATAAAACAGACACTTTTTAGAGCACTGATTTTGAATAATTCAGTGACCAATTATCTTGTCCCTGCTACATGTCAGGTACTGGGCAGGGAACTAGCAATAAATGAGATACTTTCTGTCCTCAAAGGCTCAGAATCTGGGCCCCAAGGCAGTGTTTCTCAAGTGTGGTCCTGGGTCACCTCCACAAGAATTACTTAAGGGATTTATAAATGTAGATTCAAGGCTCTGCCCAAGACCCAAATTGGAAAGTCTGGGTTGGGGTCCAAGAATCTAAACTTCTAACAAGCTCCCAGGTGAATCTCATGCATACTAAATTAGAAAAGCACTGCTGGCTGGGTGCGGTGGCTCAAGCCTGTAATCCCAGCACTTTGGAAGGCCGAGGCGGGTGGATCACGAGGTCAAGAGATCGAGACCATCCTGGTCAACATGGTGAAACCCCGTCTCTACTAAAAATACAAAACATTAGCTGGGCATGGTGGCGCGTGCCTGTAATCCCAGCTACTCAGGAGGTTGAGGCAGGAGAATTGCCTGAACCCAGGAGACGGAGGTTGCGGTGAGCCGAGATCACGCCATTGCACTCCAGCCTGGGTAACAAGAGTGAAACTCCGTCTCAAAAAAAAAAAAAAAAAGAAAAGCACTGCTTTTTGATAATCACTTGTTTACTTTTCTGTCTTTGACCTTGGAACTGGGCATGGTAGGCCTTATCTCTGATCCCTTTTGACCACTGATAACGCTGCCTGGCAGGATATCAGATATTTTGTGCCCAGAGTGCCTAGAATATGGAGTCCCTTGTGGCAGAAAACGGAAACATTCTCTTGCCATGTCTCTCTCTCTACGTCCAAGGGAACTGGATTCTATTCTTTATAACTCCAGTTCCACAGAACCCTATCTGCCAGACTCTGAAAATTAGACTTGACTTTGGAGATCTGTGTTCCAGTGCCAACTCCAGTTCCCAGGCCCAGGTTCTCCCCTAATCTTTTTATTAATAACTATATAATTAATACATGAATACATTATTTGTATTCCTCTCACAAACATGGTAGTGTGGAAGAGTTAACAGTCTATGGAGTAACTTTTTACCAGTCTAGAGTGTGAGCCTGTAAATAAATGTTCCCCTCTTCCTTCTCTCAGGCCCATTCCCCGTGGTTCCTTAAAGGGTTCTGGCAGGATTGAGTCCTAGTTACGCACAATGGTGATCAGCTTGATAATGCAGCCTTGTGTTGCTTTTCGCTCTTCCTAGCCCTGGACTCACTCTCATCCACTTCTCAATGCTGGCTTGCTGCCTACAAGCTCTCATTTTGAGCTCTGCTTTCTAGGGGGAGCTCACGCTCATACAGAGACCCTAAAGTTAAACTGGCAAATCAAAGGGTAACCATATTTAATAAACACTGGCAATGAGCCCTTGTGAAATGCCAGACCAATTTACACTCTCACCATAAGTGTATGAGATATCCATTTCCCACTGTATTGCCTACCTGGAATATTATCAAATTTGAGTGGATAGTTTTGGCACTTTCTAGCTATGTGATCTTGAAAAAGCCACTTACACCTCTGAGTCTTGTTTCAAGACACATAGAATGAGAAGAATAATCCCTGGCTTGGTGAAAATAAAAAATCATCCAGGCTGTGAAAGCACTTTGTGAGCTTAGAAGTACTAAGCACATGGAAGAAATGGTTCCTAAATATCCCAAGTATGAAAAACCAAAACTGGTTTTCATTTTTATAAAGAGCCCTTCAGAGTAAATCCATAATAATAATGGAAAAACCTGGGAGTTAGTCAGACTTTGGTCAAATGAGGTCTTGTGAAGGGAACTGAATCTGGGCTCTGACCTCAAAGACTCACGGTTTTCTACAGCTTAGGAATCCTGGAGAACTGCTCTCACCAATGCTGGCCACCTGCCATAGCTACCTTCCTCACTTGTGGTTTGCTACTTGAAAACTATATTAATGACAGGTTTTCCTGTGTTGAATCTATCTGCAGGCCAATCTAAAAGTCATAGTAAGTGAACAGAGGGGGAAGAAAAAGGAAGCCCTTGTTGCATCAACATCCATGCTAGTCCCTGCGGGGGCTCTGCCCAGGGAATGTGGTGGTGGCAGGGCTAAAGCTTATTTCCCAAGTGTAAACATGGCAAAAAGCTGCTGGCCTGTTTTCATGCTGGGAAATATTTTGAATCATTTTTGTTTTTGAATGGAACTGAACTTTGAACTTTTTTTTCTCTTTTTAGAGACAGGGTCTTGCTCTGTTGCCCAGGCTGGAGTGCAGTGGCTATTAGAGTTTACTGCAACCTGAGGCTCAAATGATCTTCCACCTCAGCCTCCTAAGTAGCTAGGACTACAGGCACATGCCACCGTGCTTAGCTTATTTTTAATTTTTTTGTAGAGATAGGGGTCTTGCTATGTTGCCCAGGCTGGTCTTTAACTCCTGGGCTCCAGCAATTCTCTGCAAATTTGGCATCCCAAAGTGTTGGGATTATAGCTGTGAGCCATTGTGCCTGACCATGTTCGATCTATGATTTTTTTTTTTTTTAACAGAGATCATTTTTTCCCATATACCTGGCTCCTACAGTAGCTATACCCTTACCCACACCTAACTGCTCCAGCCAAACACCTGGGAGCTTCCTTGGTGGCTTCTTCCTTTGAATAGCTCTAACACATGCCTCTCTATTCTACTCATCTCTTTTTCTTCTGCATGTTTGTCCTCACTCACCTCTGGGCACGCACATTGAACAAGGGGCTATAGCTCTCAGTGAAATGAGGGTGAAATCGTGAAACAGTAAAGCCAGAAGTGACCTTAGAGATTAACTAATCCACTCCGTTTATTTTAAGACAGAAGGAGATGAAGCTAGGGTTTGAACTCAGGGCTTGGTTCCAAGTTTCCTGCTTTCACATTTGGCTGGCAAAGAAAAAAAATTATTCAAAGATACTTGTTAAAGCACAGGAAGGAAGACTTTAATCCGGACCATTGTGATAAGCATAGGGACCACTACAGTGGGTCTTGCAGTAGAGGAGAGAGATTGGGCTCGACTCCCAATACAGCATGGGCCAGTTGGAATGTATAGCCAAGGAGCACCTTGGGGTCACTGGAAGGAAAATTGCTAAGAGCAACCATCAGGAGTTAGGGGGATTCTGGCTAAACTCGTCTTAACGGGATTCTTGCTGAGGACAGGCCAGGGTAATCAGGCAGCACCTGGGGGATGGTAGAGGTTGAGGAACCCAGTCATGGAGAGTTCTCAGTAAACTGACTTAGAGTTCTTTGCCAAAACCACTTTGTTACGAGGAAGTGCACAGATGGGGCTACAGAAGATTCAGAAGCCTGACTAAAATTTGGCCAAGCAAAGAATGTTCTCACCTTCCCTCTTGCACAATTCACCACCCAACCCCAAGTCTTGCTTCTAGGAGAACACCAGTGTATTGCTCACTGAATTGAGCAGAATAGAATTGAAGACTGACTTCCTGCCTAACTCAGTGCCCGGCACAGAGCAAGCCCTCGATAAGTGTTTGTCGAGTGGATGAATGCTATTTTAAACTGTCTGGAACTTGCTGCCATATGGAAGCTGGCAACTAAAACAATTTTTTTTCTTTTTCACCTTTAAGCAATTCCTTCTTTTAGAAAGCAGAACGGGAAATGGGGGTAGAAAAGAAGGTTGCAATTTTAAATTGTATGGTCAGGGTAACCCTCTTGAAAAGGTAAGCTTTGAGCAAAGATTTGAAGGAGGTTGAGCGAGAGCCCAGTGGCTATCTGGGGAAGGAGCCTTTCAGAAGGAGCTAAACAAGGTCCCTAAGGCGTAAGTGAGGAGCAGCAAGGAGACCTGTATCACTGTTAGGGAGTGAGCAGAGGGGAGAGGTTTAGGGGTTGAGGTCCCAGAGGTAATGGGAGCTGGGGGTGCACTCATGTAGGATCTCAAAGGGCATTTAAAGGATGTTGAGTTTTTCTTTGAAGGGAATGTGGAACCATTGCAGGATTTCAAGCAGAGCAGTGATGTGATCTAACGTACATTTTACAAGGGTCACTCCTGACATCATTTTGGAAATGGACCGTAGAGAGACAAGGATAGAATCAGGGCACAGTTAGCAAATTGCAGTAGTGATCCAAGCAAAAGAAGATAGTACCATGGACCAGGGATTCTGGCTGTATTTTGAAGATAGAGCCTATGGGATTTCCTGATGCCCGTAGACTGCCATATGGGAGGGGACAGCTTGAAGTTAGGCAATAGGGAGGCCCTGGTTGGGCCAGTGGACAGTTCCTTTCTCAGTTTGACCAAATTCGGCCACTGAGGGTTTATTTCCTCAGAAATTACCAAGACTGTTTCTTCTCTCTGAGGTCAAAATAAAGACATCCAGGAAAGGACTAGACACTTTTATATTTAAGAGAAGGAAATGAAGCGAACTTGTTCAGTCTCTTGTTTATTTTGTTCCAACTCACAAAGCATGGTCATGACCACAGAGGAAGACATATTTCACAAGAGGCCAGAGAAAGAGCCAGTCAGTCAGCTGCTAAACACATTAATCAGATCTTCAGTGGTCCAGCTCAGGCTGAGGCGATGCGGATGTGGGAGAGCCCAGCCTGTTTAGAATGGGGCCAAGGGCTCTCCACAGGAGCTTCTCCCTGTGCTATGAAGGTCAAATGCGTTAATACAAGTAAAGTGGATAGAGGGCAGCACACTGTCAGTGCTATCAGTGCTATGGAAATATTGGTTATTAGGCCATGGAGCATAGTCCAATCCCTTCATTAACAGGTGAGAAAACAGGTTCAGAGAGAGGAATTCATTTGTCTAAAGTTACACTGGCTCTCCGGCTTTACTTATGAGCAGCACTAAGTTGGCTTCTTAAAAAAATTGTTGAACAGCCTGGCCAACATGGTGAAACCTGTCTCTGCTAAAAATACAATAATTAGCCAGGTGTGATGGCGGGCGCCTGTAATCCCACCTGCTCGGGAGGCTGAGACAGGAGAATTGCTGGAATCCAGGAGGCGGAGGTTGCAGTGAGCTGTCTGAGATTGTGCCACTGCACTCCAGCCTGGACAACAAAGAGCGAAACTCCATCTCAAAAAAAAATTGTTTGGACAATTGAGATTTCCTTTATGCCCCTCTTACCATTTATTCCTGGGAAGTTCTTTTAGACTTTCAGCTGTCATCTGAGAGTTTAATGGGATGTTTTATTACTCTTGAGCGCTGGTAGAAGTGAGCCTCTAAGCTAGCCATCAGTGGCCACTGCCTTCTGGTGTTCCTACCCTGGTGTACCAGGGTTGATCTGTGTGACCAACAGCATATGACAGAAGTGATGTGATGACACTTCTGAGACTAGATTATAAAAGACTGTGGCTTCTGTGTTGGGCCCTCTCTTGTTAGAGCTCTCTCCCTCCCCTCTCTCTCTGTCACAACATGCCCTTTATGTTTGAAGCAAGCTGCCATTTTGTGAGCAATCCCATAGCAAGTCCCGTGTGGCAGGAAACTGAAGCCTCTGGCCCACAGCTGGTGAGGACGAAGGCCTGCCAGTAACCAGCAAGTGAGCTCAGAGGTGGATTCTCCAGTTCCACTTGAGTATGGAGATGGTCACAGACCCAGATGACAGCCTGACTGTAAACTTGTGAGAGACCCTGAGCTAGAACCACCCAGGTAAGCAACTCCTGGACTCCGACCCTCAGAAACAGTGAGATAATAAAAGTTTAGGCTCCTAAGTTTGGGGATACTTTGTTCTTTCCTTACCACCACTGTAACAGTGAACCTCTGCCTCACTGTATACTTCTCTTTCCATCTCTGCCAGGTCCGCTATCCTATTCACGGCTTCCTGTGCTCCCTGCATGTTCCCATAATGAACTGTCTTCTCTGAGGTCAAACCCAAAGTCATCAAACCAGCTGAATCAGTCACAGTACCAACAGGAAACAGATGGTGGGCTGAAATAGATACTTTGAAGAAAGTTTAATACAGGAACTATTTGCGGAATTGTGGGTGGTGGGGAGAGCAATGAAAAGGAATACTGAAGTCCTTGGGGATAGTAAAGGTGGGTGCTATTTATGGCCTAAGACCTGAAGAGGCAAGGGTGGGAGCAGCTACTGGACTCTGGAGACAAATAGAGCTGTATGAAGAGGGTCCCCTGACAGGAATTGGGCCACAGAGCCAGCCTTGCAGCCCCTGGGGTAGGGGTTGGGGGGGCAGAATGCAAAACACCTCAGCTCCTGCAGATGCTTCCCTCTTTGATGAGCTCACCAGAAAGTTAGACATCAAGAAAATCTATCTTAGTTTCCTTCAGAAAAAGACTGTGGGATAATGGTTTAAATGCAAGTCATTTATTTGAGAGGTTTAGAGGTTCAGGGTACACCAGTAGGGAACTGAGGAAGTGATATAAAGAAGTGAAGGCAGCTGTTATGATTGTGTTATTAAGCCAGCTGTCATGAGTGACTGGAGCCTAGTCGCACAGAGAAACTCTGGAAACGATGTAAACACACCTCTCAGAATTATTCCACTGAAGGGTAAGGGAGTTGGGGTATTTATACCCCTAATGTCTTTGGCTGAGGGCTGCTCCTGGAGAAAAGGGTTAATTCTTGGATACTTTTGGACTGACAGACCAACCTTCTGTGGTTCTGGGAAAAGCTCTCAGACACAAAGATACAGATACTGGCAATTGGAAGTCTGTGAAACACTGAAGCGGAGAAGGCCCAAGAGATTTTTGCAGGGATTGGCAGTGTTTGCTACCAGGCCCTCTGATAGGGTACATTCAGATGAACTTCCTATTCACAAGGCTGGATGGAGAAGTGTGCAGAGGGTGAATCTGAAAGCAGAAATAAAACGAATGCATGCTTAAAGTTAATAAGTAAAATTTACTAATACTCTCTTAAATATAGATGCACTGTATAGGTTTCAAAACGATAATTTTTCCCTTTTATTCTCACAATTACTGTCCCTATCCTCTCTCGTAACCATGTAGCTAATTGTCTGATTCTGGTTGTGCACTGTGCAGTGTGCATTGCAGTTCTCATTGTGCCTGTGCATCTCACTGTGCCTTAGCTAGGTCAGGAATTACTCCATTTCAGTGAGGAGAAAAAGAGTCACAGAGAGGCCCTAACTCAGTAAGAGTCATTCAGATGCAAGACATTTAGAATCAGTTCTTTTACTTCCTGGTTGGGTAACCTTAGACAAGTTAACAATCCTCTTTGGGCCTCTGTTTTCTGATGTGTAAAATAGGGGTTAATAACATTTTCACCCTAGAATAGTAGTATAACGCTTATAAAATCCTTGCTATGCAATATGTTCCCAATAAATGTTTTGTTCAAGTAAATGATCTTTTTTGAAAAATATAATATAGGCAAATGCATATATATATTTGAGACCAAAGTTTGCTTCAAAAATTAGGCTGACTGAACAGAGATATCTGCTGGTAATAGACATTCTATTATCTCTAGCTACATGACTCTGTAATAATTGAACACTTTGGAATTAAGCCATGAGAATTGATTCAAATAATTATAACCACACTAATGAGACCATATGGCTATCAGACCACTTCAAAGCTATAAAATGGAATCCTTCCATTTCCTCTTCTTCCTCCCTGTCTGCTTAGCACCTTGTTCTATCTCAGATTCCATGTTTGAGAAATGTCATCATTTACCGTCCTTCCTAATCATTAATTCAATGAAGTATTTCAGCCATAATACAAAAGTTATAATTAAAATAAAAATTCCTGCATCTTATTTTCAGTCTAGAAGTTTATTTCCTTTTTTTTTTTTTTTTTTTTTGAGACAGAGTCTTGCTCTGTCACCCAGACTAGAGTGCAGCAGCACAATCTTGGCTCACTACAGCCTCCGCCTCGCAGGTTCAAGCAATTCTCTGCCTCAGTCTCCCAAGTAGCTGGGATTACAGGCACCCACCACCACGCCCGGCTAATTTCTGTATTTTTAGTAGAGACAGAGTTTCACCATCTTGGCCAGGCTGAGTCTTGAACTCCTGACCTCGTGATCCACCCGCCTCTACCTCCCGAAGTGCTGGGATTACAGGCGTGAGCTACCGCGCCAGGCTGGTTATTTCTTTTGAGTTAGCAAGTGAGTGGAGCTTCCCCCAAACAGTAAGAAGGCATTTTGGCCAAGGATTTATAGAACAAAAAGAACCTTAGGAATTTTTTTCAGGAAGAAAGGGAAGGGAGGGAGACTAGTAATTTCAGGAGCCCTGGTGCTTATTGCCTGACTTTTGGGAAGAACTGAGCTGTTTAGGGGCCTGTAAGCAGGGAACTAATGTCTGAGTCAGGACAGATTCATCAGTGAGACAAAACAGGTCGCCCACACACAGGTATTGCTTTTAATTCAAAACTGTAGTAATCTTAAGATCCTTGAGCCTTAGCTTTAAAAAATTTTTGGAGGTACAAGTGACTCCAGAGAACATTTAACTCAACTCTCTTCTTTTCACTTCTGGAGGCTGAAGATTTAGAAAGGGGAAGGAACTTCCTCAAGATCACATGGTAAACTAGTGACAGAGCCAGGACTAGGAGCCATGGTTTAA